GGAGCAACTGAGGGAACTGAGGTTGTTTGGTCTGGAGAAGACAAGGCTCGGGGGGGCCTTATTGCTCTCTACAACTACCTGAAAAGAAGCTGTGAGGTGCTGGGGGTTGGCCTCTTCTAACAGGTAACTAGCAATAGGACTAGAGAGAAAGGCCTCAAGGTGTGCCAGCAGAGGTTTAGGTGGGAAATTAGAGGACATTTCTTCTCAGAAGTGGTAGTCACATATTGGAATGGGTTGTCCAGGGAGGTGGTGGAGTCACTGTCCCCGGGGATGTTTAAGAAAGGGTTGGATATATTTATCTTATTTATCTGGATATATTTATCTAGATATTTCTATATTTAGAGACATGTCTTTGTGGGTAATATTGGTGGTAGGGGGACAGTTGGACCAGATGATCTTAGAGGTCTTTTCCAACCTTTATGATTCTATGATATAGTCAAGGACCCAGTGGAGAACTTTTATATGATATGGCTTGTATGAATATTGGATTCTTTACCTCAAGCTTATATCATGCCTGCTGAAAGTTCTCTCTTTCAATTATTTTATTTTTATTTTTTAGTAGATATCTATATTTTCTGATGTCTTCCTCTCCTTCTCCTTGTCATTGTTCAGATAGGATAACAGCACAGCCTGATGAGCAGATGATTTCCAAATCTCAGTTAATAAATATCATAGTCACCTTTGATGTTCTAAATACTTGCACAAGGCACAGGCTAGGGGCAACTAGATTTGCCAGGTTAGTTTAGTCTTTGACATTTCTTTGAAGATACATATGCTTGCAGTCTTTTACATGTTCATATCTGCCAGTCAATAGGACTATCATTGCAGAGGCTTCTGCTAATTTGTAGAAATTACTGATTGTAAGCATTCTAAGTAGAGAAACCAAACAGTTGTACATCCTTTGCCATTTCATATAATACATCTTGATACCTTGCTACAACTGTCAACTCTTTTTCCAAAACACAGAACAGGAAATAGCAAAATTATCTAATGAATATTTCATTCTAACTTCCTTAGAAATAGAAATAAATAGGTTTATTTTTCTGCTTCTTTCTCAACATCTTTGTTTCTCTCATACATTACTCCTACAGGCCTGATGAAAATCGAAAGCCTGTGTGTAAAATGTGCAAGATGAAATTTCTCAAGATTATATTAGCATAAAATACATGTAAAAAAAGTACAGTTTTTCCATTCCTTTCTCACACACAATAGCCTTATTCCATTTTAGTCAATCAGAAAACGGGTCTATTTAAAACAAGTATTATACTAATATATTTTTCTCATCTTTAAGACACACAAGATTAAGCAAGGATTTAAGATTACTAAAACTAAACTATACAGGGGGAATGATCCTGCTAAATGCTCAGCTTTCTGATGTGAAACACCACTTCTCAGAATAGCTGCTGCCTTTTCCATTTTGTACGTTCTCAATCAGTCTCCCACAATGTTTCAAGAATGGATAAAAGTTTTGGTTTTATCCTTTCATATTTACCTGCTGAGGTGTGAGTGTCTCAGGAAGAGCATCACTGGTTGGCATAGCCTTGATGTACGTGAAGTATTCTATAGCTTATCTTGTACCTTTCACAGCACAAAAGATTAGAGAAACATCATGTATACAGGCAGTTCCCTTAGCTACTAGTAACAGTGTTCCCTGGGAACATAACATCATTTTTTTTGTCTTGCCACTTCCCTTCTCTTCAAACACCTCATAACAGCAGGCAGAAAAGGGTATGTAGCATAAGTTTTTCTGATGTTGGAAGACATTTCATCCATGAATTTCAGTTTTTAGCAAAAGATAGAAGGGGAGAGGCTATATCCTCAAATATGGATATCTGAGATTCCTTACATAGTGGGCTTCTACGCTGAAATATTTGGATCCCTGCTTAACTAATAGATAGCAACGTTGCATCTGCAAATTTAGTCTTTTACATAAATTTAGTCTTTTATTTTAGTCTTTTATCTGTAAATGTAGTCTTTTAACAATGACCTTTTAACCTTGACTGCATATGTACACGGTAGGTTTTAATGTTGCCTTTCAGCCACCTTCATCTTGGGCTTTCCCAGGGATTTGCTATAGGAGTCTGTTTAAATTGCACAGCCTTCCCAGCTTTCTGCAAAGGCACAGGGCTTGTCAGACTCACTGCAGCAGATACACCCTCACAAGAAGTCACATCAGTTTCTCTCAGATACTGTACCCCAGATGTTGTGGAATGCTTGCTAGAACAAGGCCTTTGAGATACCACTCAAGATTATGGCAGCAGAAAAATCTGAATTTCATCTGTATCACAGTGTGTAGTTTGAAAGCACCAATAGAAATGCTTGCACAGCTATGCTTGAAAATATCATTTAAATTAATGAGAAAAATAAATGAGCATTGTATTGCAATGCACAATGGAGCAAGGTCCACTGGATTAAAGCGGTACAGAACATCTGTAATTAAGGGTTGCAGAATTGTAGCTGTCCTGATGTAATAAAACATGTAAGATTAATGAGTTTAGATAGTAGAATAAAAGATAATAAAGTTCAAAGTGACTAAAAGATTTTCATCTTCTAGCCCATTCTCTGGCATAAAATGTCCTCTTTTTGTGTGTGTGTGTGTGAATAAATTCTTGTGTGAATCAAGACTCATCTTTTAGAACTCATTTAATTTAGATTTATATATTTCTCAAGCATCATGTTATCACATATATAATGTTCTAATATCTTGTTTTTTTCTTTAAAAAAAAAAAAAGTGAAATAAATAATCTTTTGTTTGCCTTCCATGATATTCTACGTACATTAGGGCTTACTGCAAATCAATGTTAAAAGTCCAAAAGGCTACTCAAGATTATTATTTTTTCTTTTTTTAAGAAATATTTGTAGAAGTTATCAAAAGCTGCTGATAAAAAGTGTATGACATTACTGGCTCCTGTTTAATATCCGTTTGAGTTACTGTTGAAAGTATTTTATTGTGTTCTGACATCAATGTTTGGTCTTTCTCCAAGTACAGAACTATGCTCTGTACACTATTCAGTATAAAAGATATGCTTTTACTTATATTGAGCTTACTGTGAAGAGTGTGCTACTGGCTTTTTATTCAATACTGTTGATAACTCCACTATTGTTATGACATTAGTGGACTTGTTAACATTTCTTTTATTCCTGGTATGAGAATTGAAAGAGTACTTTTTATTTTCTGTAACTCCACTGACTGACAATTATGTCTTTTGTTTCCTTGTCACATTTTACCGATTCGTAGCTTCTCGTTTGCTTTCAAATTCTTTGTTTTGCCCATCTGTTATTTTATTTTCTTATTATGCTTTCTGTTGTTACTTTCACATTTGCTCCTAGCAGAGCTGAATGTTCTTCATAGCAATCTTCTTCTGGGTTGTAATTCTAGTAGGACAATATTAAATTGTTCCCAACACTGTCCACAGTTCTTCCATCTAAATTATTTCTGCTGGGCTTTTTAACTCCTAATTATTTCAGGTTTAAGAAATTGGATGCTAAAAACAACAGTGAGTGTATGCATTCCTTAGTCATATAACTTACAGAACAAAGGTATCAATTTGCTGTACTTCTGTATATTAATGAATTCCTCTGTCAGTCAAGATAAGAATTAAGAAGGGCATCTTGCCAAGCAGTTGTCACCTGTGCCTCATAGATTCTTCCTTCTAGTGTAAATTCCCAGCAATGACAGTATCTTCTTCCGGGGGTAGGAGTCCTTGAAGGAGTTTATATTGTTTTCAGCTACTTTGAGTTTGTCATTTACAGTGCTTCTGGTGTGAATAGTAACATGAGTGTGCACCAGTCATTCTGTATGATTTTGTCCTTCACTTCTTGCCAGCAGGGGTTCAGTAGTGCTTCTGCATTGTTTTCCTTCTATATACCACTGGTTTTATTATAAAATAATGTTTGTTTCCTGTTGGAAGCAGCAATGTATGTCATATCATTCCAGGTTCTTCACATGCACTGCTAACATTGTGATATAATGGTGTCAAGTTGGCTTTGTTGATTTTCAACACCTTATAATATCAGTAGCAAATATTTAAGCAGCTGACTTTTTCCTGTTTCATACTGTTATATGCAGGCTTAAAGCCATTTTATTTTGGTTCATAGTCTGTATCTGAGGTAATGACTGATCTGACTTTGGCTCTCATTTACTCCTTCCATAAATAAAAAATGAACTCTAAGCAGCTGGAAGCTCATCTGTTTGTGCTGGTGGATAACTTGCATTTTTTGTGCTTTACTTATCTGATTTCATAACAATGTTTGCTCAAGACCCTGAAAATGTAACATTTTCAAATGTGAATGTTACAGAACTCAATACAGATAGATGAAAATTACTGGTGTTTACAGTTTAATACTGTCTCTTGTTATTTCCAATGGAAGGAGATTTAAAAAAAACAGCAACAACATTTTTTTAATCATATGCAGTGTTCAGAAACAAATGGGAATAGCTTGATGACCTTCTTAATAAGACTTTAACCTGAAATCTTTTTTCCTCCTAATTTAGGTCAAATAAGCTCTTTATTTTGTGTGTATGATTCTGCACCCTTATTTAATTATTCTCAGAATGTAGCTATTGTTAAGCCCCTACAGTTTAGCACAGTTCAGCACATATTTCCTGCTGCTTACAGGAACACACTGGGGAATGTGCTTTAATATCGCTTCACACTTATTAAAATACAAACTCTTCCAGAGCAAGGATGTGCTACTGCCATGAATGAATAAATTTTAATCATAAAATGCACAAGTGAGAATTTAACCTGTTCAACAATATTTTCTAAATGGTTTTGTATGACACTACTTGTATCTGAATAAACATGTTGGGTGAAATATTTGCATATACCGAAGTAGTGAGTATTAATGTGTATACAACTACACTGTTGAAAAACAATAAATATTGACAGCTTATGTACTTGTAAAATGTCGTGACTCTGCCTCAAAGTAAATTCTTTAAAATATGTCATGATACTGAAAGAAATTTACTTATTCCTTTCTTTTCTTTCCTCTTGTAGATATTTTTAAATGCAGATACTATTCGCCTGGGAAATCTACCAGTGGGCTCCTTTTCCTCCTCTTCACCTAGCTCTTCAGCTACCTCGCCAGACTATCTATGAGCTCTGCGCCTGCCCCAATGGTAAACTTTATCTGTCCCCAGCAGGAGCAGGCTCCACATGTCAATCCAGTAGCAACATCTGCTTGTGGAGCTAGAAGGACTCCAACTTCTCCTCACACCAGAATAGCCTTTTGTTACTATCCCTCTGCTTCACAGTTCTGCTCGGTTTCCCTTGTGACCAGTTCGACGCTTCAAATGGCCTGCAGAGCAACTTCTTCCAGTGTAAGCAGGAATACAGCGCTGCCTTCTCTTGTGGTTTGTGTTACCACTCAACGTAGAGATGGGAGTGAGATATTCAGAAATCAATGTATTCTTCATCAGGAAACCTGGAACATAATATCACCTTTTGTCCAAAAGGGAGAATAACACAGGTGCCTTTGCTACATGAAGTGAAGCACATAGTTTTAGATTTTTGCAGGACCTGGATATGAACTGCACATATATATATACAGTACATAAACGAATTTGCCCAGAATCTGATGGTGAAATGAATTGGTTACCCCTGTATGATAAATAACTTTACTGTCTGAAAGCACAATTTTCCATTCATCTTTTTGGATGTAAACTTTTATCCCTGAATTTTAAAATTTTGAAGCATTGTGTGATGCTTGCTTTACTAAACAATTAAATTCAGTAAATGTTTTTTTAACACAAAAAGAGACAGAATCCCTCCGTGAGTTTGGTTTCTTTAAAAGTGTGTTGTTACTCTTTGTCTACTAAGTCTAGGGTTTTGTACACTAGGTAAATTTTGGAAGTGCTCAGCAATATTACCTTTCAGAGTTAAAAAGACACCTGCTCTTGTTTGTCAGATCTGAATGGCCTTACATATTAATTTTGTGGCTACTGCATGTGAAATGATTGCTTTCAGTAGAACATACAGTTTCTGGAAAAGAACAGGGTAAAGAAGGAAATACTGTTGATGTGGTTTTTGATCAGTGTATTGCTCTTCACAAGGTAATTATAATTGGCAAATGCAAAAAAAAAAATCTTCAAAGGTATCTTTTCCATTCTCTAGCTATGTCCAACTGCTGCCGTTTGAACACAGTACAAACATTAGTACTAATGCAGTGTGTAAAGCTGAGAAGCAGTGCACTAACAACTGGTACCACATTCATATTCATTATTCTCTTTTGTTTACCATCTGCTGCTAAGGTTTTCAAAGTAATAGTAATAAATATATATAAACACGCATTAAATGACATTCAGTATTAAAAAGTACGTTGATATTATGTTGACTTCATCAGGTCTGTGTTTAAATTATGCAGCCCCATTTGCACTCTGAGCTCACTTCTAACTTCCTTTTTTGACAAGTTTTACGTGGGATTTCTTTCTTGTATCAATCTTCATACTCTTTGGTTTGTTTGGTAATTGAAATCTTTGGTATGCTGCTAGTAAGTTTATCGCAACATTGATTAACAAGAGTATCTTGAAACTTGCAGAACCCAGGAATGTAAAACAGTATAAAAATGTTTCCCATTGTGGAAGATGGCTTGATTACATAAGGTAAGTGTGCTTTTTAATACTATTCTTTAAAATACCATGTAGCTTTAGAGGCTTCTGAATGTAAGACCATCAATGTAATGACAGGTTTTACAAGGTAACTCTGAAGTCAGGGCAAACAGCGCAAGGTGGGTATTTCTATGCAGCTTTTTTTTTTTTCTTTTGAGAAAAAAGAAAAAGAGCAAACAAATACTGTGATTACCTTTCTATTTTATTACCACCTCATGAGGTTGATTTTGTTTTCACTTCAGGTGAAATTCACTCCTGTGCAGAAGACCAGCACAAGACGTGTCCACGGCTTGACTGGTGCTTGCCTTTCCATTGGGCCTGTTCAGAGGTGTGAATTTCACTCTGTAGAAAGAATGCTCTACTTGCTGTTTTTACCAGACGATGATAATAATAACAATAATAATTTAAAGTTATTTCATCTGTTCAAAAGAAGGCTATTAGGAAATAATTCATTATTTATTTGAGAATTGTATTCTTTCACTGGGAAAAACAAAACAAAACAAAAAAAGTATTAGAAAATATTTCAAGAAAATATATTAGACGCCTGGGGATTCTTAGGAAGAGGAACAGAAACAGATAGAAATGACAATGGGAAATGACAATGGTGATAATAAGACATTTGAAAGTGTATCCATACAATATACCCTTAAAACTATCAGGAAATATATGCCTCTGGTGTGAGAGCACAAGGAAAAAGGATCAATCGTATTCCAGGAGTACAATGTATAGATCTGTATGACCATATACCTACATGTATTCATTATCTGTGCACACCTACAGACACTGGTTGCTTCAAAGATGCACAGATTGCAATGACTAATCTATTCAGTGACTTACATTTTGTCTTCCTACAAATTATACACAAGTAGACTAAGATTATTTTTTTTTTCTCCCCACTAAACCTACATGATTTGTCATGCATTTTCCATTGAGCAATTCTTATTTGTTTGCTCTTCGCCTTATATTATAACTTACTGTAGTACAGTCAAAAAATGTTTCAGGCTTCTTTCTGGATAGACCCAAACTTTATAAATTTTCCTCAATTTTCTACAAATCATGTAGAGAAATAAAACATATCTTGTATAATAACTCATGTTAACAACAAGGCTGAAATAATTTACTGCTCTGTATGGGGAAAACTCAGAGCAGATGTGCAGATGCAACTTTGGACTTCAGAAAACCAAGCCAGTAAGTCCACAAAGCTCTGCACTGTCAGGATTTTCTTGCTTGGAATCATTGCAGTCTGCTTGGTAGTATTTATTATACCAATATTGGTGCCAGTAAAAATAGAGTGTATTTAGGAACCTATGAGATAGATAGACATGTCTACCACGTAAACAGTTCTCATAATGTCTAAATATTTTGGTGAGTTTCAGAACACCAGTATTTTACTTTAAATCTACTGCAAGCTATAAGAAGGGGAAAAGAAAAACTCAGTTTTCATTTTAAAGGACATTTCTAGCCCATGTGATTTCCGAGTATGGGAAAAGTGATTTCAGTGCATCTAGAGAACTACAAACATCAGAACACCAAGTATCTATAAGCAGTGTCATCATTTCTGAGTGGAAGGAGAAACAGGTCTGGTATTTTTTAGTGTTTGGAGCTGGCAATAATAGAGCTCTTTGATTCATAGCATGGTCCAAAAAGTGACATAGTCCAACCACATCATTTCAGATGGAAGGAAACTAGATCTCAGTACAAATGCCATGTTAAAACATGGAGCCAAAACATAACTATTTTAGTGCTGGTGTTTTAATGCTGAGGTTTAAAATAAAGGCCATTCTGTGCAGAGCTTTAGGAAATTTCTGGATACTTTTTGTCACATTCCTCATAGATTCCTGTCTCCAAATTATTTCAGTCTTTGTTGTATAATATCTAACATTCTGGTTATGATTAAGCCCCAGCTGAAGTATCTCTAATTAGAGAAAAATTGGAAAATTTTGATCACTTATTTCAGAAAAGAGATCTCACTTCTTTTTATGGCTAAGGTAAGAGTTTCCCCATTAACAAATCACTCTGTTATGACAATTGTAGAGCAAGATTGAAGACCTTAAGGTCTTTTTAAGCATTAATATTAGTGCACTTAAAAAACAAAAACAAAAAAAAACAAAAAAAAAACAGTGGCTAAAAATGTTCCTTTTGAGTCTCTTTTTAGTATATGAATACATGTATCAAATAAAGCTTCTTTTTGTACTCAAATGTTTGTTTGGGAACCACTAAGATGATGATGCAGATGTTTGGCTTCTTCAGAGCTATCTCTATGCCAACAACAAAATATATGAAAAGACCTTATTAAATACATGTATTTAATATATACAGTAGATTTATGTTCTGTAAAAACTGTCATGATATCCATGTCATAGGATACTGTCTCTTTCTTGTTTAAAAAAGAAAAATAAAAACATCAGCCAACCTCTCTGAGCACTGTTAGCTGTATCGTTTTGTACTGCAGTTCATTCATTGGTTAAGTGATAAGACCAAAGACTGACACTTCTACTTTATCTAACACTATGACACTGCTGCTTCTACTAATTCTGTTGGAATGAAGAGATGACAAGTTGTAATTACAACATGAAATTGTAACATAGTTTAGATTTGTGCAGCATTTTGAGCTGTAGATTGTTCACTTTATTCCAGGGTTTAATTTATTTTTTTTAACTTTTTTGTTTGTTTTTTTTTGGTTTTGTGTATGTTTGTTTGTCAGCATGGTGTAATTATGTTACTGTTCATACATACCAGGATCTTTCATTGTTCATAAAAAAAAGCAGAGCGTGTATTCCAAAAGGTGCCAAGACATTGCTTGTTTCAACTGAAGTTATACTGTTTTGCTTGCAAAACAGTATCTTGACTGGATAACACAATTCACTTAAAAAACATTTTAGATACAGAGGGCTATTAAGTCTGGGTTGAAGATAGAACTATACATGTCTAGAAGAATTTTACGAAGGATATTTAAGATATTTGGTTACTAACACCATGTATTATTTGTTGTTTTTTGATTGTTCTAGATTCTAAACCACTGTCTAATTAAAAAAAAAAAAAGCAAACACTATGGAGTTACTATCGGCTGATTCACTGTAATGCATATGTAAGCTGGATCTAAGGTTGTGTCATATTGTTTCAATCAGTACTCAGTAAAGGTCTGCTAACCATTTTTTGTTTTGTAGCTTTCATGCTAATGATTTCCTTGTGTATATAATATATAAAAAGATGGGAACTATTTTCTTACACATACTATGCAATATATTTGTAAAACTGCAATATTACCAAAATTACAAAAGCTGTGCTTTTGTACTCTGTTGCTTTATGTAAAACAAATCTTTTTTCTATTTAACAGATTGTCTGTCTTATAATTGTAGATAACATTATTCAAAAGAAGTACACTGAAACTTTAAGATTTTTTATTTCATTTTCCTTGGATTTTTTATTTTATGCTAATAATAGCAAGGTTTTGGAAGTTGGAAATTGTTTTTCCTTTAAAAGATAGAAATTTTACAGCATGTAATTAACATAGTCCATTTGAAATCTCTCCTGTATTTCTTTCATTTGATTGTAGCATTTTCACCTGGTGCTACTATATAACGATAAATAAATGTGATCTATAAAATAGGAAACATAATCAGAACTCATTTCAAGAATAACTGAATGGAAAACTTTCTAAGAGTGAGAGGAAGATGTAGGATAGCTGATGAAAAAATGTTAGTTTTTCTGTATATTTATATTTATTTTTTGCATTCTTCTATCTACATTAGCTGTATGGTAATGGCTTTTCTTTTCAAGTTTTTCTCCTCACACACGATATTTATTTTATTAAAGTTTTAGTGCAAAAGTATTTTTGAAAACAGAAATGTAGACTTGTGTGAAGAAAACCTAAATTTAAAGACATATAGGTTTTATTTCTGCATCAGCTTTACTAAAGTTAAGACTTAGATTCCTGCATCTCATGTAATGTAAAAGTATATTACACTGCTCAAGTTTCTTTGTACCCTGCCAGAATAAACATAAGCTGTATGTTTAAACTGCACCAATTTACAAGCCACTTGGCAATTACACAGTAAAAGGTCTTGTAGTGATCTCGTCAATGTGAACAAATCCTATCTACATTTAAATTGGATAGCGCGATTCTGCTAACCATGTAGCCTTGCACATACCTCTGGCAAAAAGCAGACTAAGCATGTAGTTGGTTTGTTTGCACTAAGCTAATTGATACCATGTTATGATTTCAGCAATACCCACAGTAGCCAAACAATAGCTAGCTGATAATGCCTAAAAAAGTGTATTTTCTGTACAAGAGCAGTGGTATAGACATATGCAGGTCCTGCTAAGCCTCATGTGACTAATACACAATAGCTGATACAGCAAGAAAAATTACTCTTAGCCATTTTATTCAGGATTGGACAAACCCAATCCAGGAAGAGCTAAATGACACGCACACAAACACACACACACAAACACACACACAAATAACGGAAGGTTTAGTGAAGAGAAAACAAAAAACAACAACAACAACAAAAAAAACATAAACATTATGTTGATTCAACACAGTCCATATTGAGACTATAATTTAATACAATTTAATTTTTTGTGTAAAAATAGGGTCTCCTTTGGAACTTTGATCTTCAACCAATACATTTCTTATACTGGCCATAACTAGGACAAGTTTTGGAACAGCCAAGGAAAAAGCATATATTCTATGCTTGGTCTGATTCAAGTCAGTGTTACATGTTACAGTGTTACTAATGAGCCTAACCTAGTTATCTGAGGGGAAAAAAATGGAATAAGAAAGTTTCCCTCATTTTTAAGAAAACTTAAATCTTTTAAGGGCATCTTTTAAGTTGACCCTCTGAAGGTATGTCTCGCTCTTCCAATTTCTCTAGTTCTGAAGTGTTTAAGTACTTAGGCCATTTATATTATCAAAAAAGCCTGGCCTTTGGCTTAGCCAAGTTCACTGAATGCATGACTTGATCTGTGAAGAAAAGGTGCCTTTTTATCACATGTATACCTCTGTGCTGGTGAGACCTGTGAGGGAGGAATTCAGCTTCCAGCATAATCTAGAGCATAGTAAAGAGTAGGACTTATGCATAAGAGTGCATGCATAATTATGCATTCCTTAAAATCAGATATCATATTTTCTGTGCTTTATGGTTCTTTGGAAGCTTGCATAGTCATTCTTCAACCCCTATTATTCATTCTAGCACAATAACCTATTTCTGAGTATTCTTTTTCAGAACCATTCCGAAAAATGCATTATTGCTTTCTTTCCAGGTGATGTTTATTCAGTTTTCTTACCTACAATTCTGCAGTAGTTAGTGAAAGCAAAATCCCAACCCTTACCCCCTTACCCTTTCAGCTGAGCTCCAGCAGCTCCCCTTAGCCTCCTTCTTTCTCCCCAAACCACAAAAGGATAGGCACCAGAAAGGATTATGCTAAGTCTCTTTATCAGGTTCCTGTGTAACTTACTGGAACTGAATCAAAGGGGAAATTTATATCAAATAGGAAGATTATTTGCTTAGTGTAAACATAAGTTATATGAGAAGGAAACAAACACAGGTAAATATCAATTTTATCTCAACTTACTAGAGTGAATAGTGAAAGATTTGGGATTATGAAGTCCTTAGTATTTTTTTTATTTCAAATAACATTTATTATTTAATGAAAGTATTTAAAATACCATAAAAGAAATATGCAAACCATTCTGTCCTATTGACTTTTTAATTTTTTGAAAATGCAATAGAGAAGTAATCACTGAACACATTGTTTTTCTCTCTCTACTAATGTATTCATTTACTTCAACAAATTTGAGTGAATAAATACAACCTAAAATGTTACATAGTGAAAATCTAACTATTAAAAAAATACTAAAACTAGACGATATTGTTCTTATAGGTCGTGGGTGATATTCTCATTCATCCTAGGTTCTTTTCCAACAGCATGCTTTTCTGTTGTTTTGTGTGATCTTTGGGAGATTGGGAGCCCCTGATGATGAAGGAAATACAGTGTCTACGTAGTAGCGGAACCTGCTGTGGTAGCATCTCCCACATTTATGATGGCACTGAACAAAACGTGGGAGCACGTGCACTAATGTGAGTATGGAGGGCTTCCTAGGTTTAGCTTTGTGAAGTCAACAGATGCTTTCCAGCCCTGTGTTCACCAGGCTGAATAAGAGAGAGCATTGCAATGACTTGGGACAGACAGGCAGCATTGTATTTGTTCTGCATAGGAATGGTAGAACAGTGATACACATGTAGTGAAGACAAACTGCCCAAGTTGCAACAGTACAAAACAGAAATATAATTGAAAATTGGATTATTTTGTTTAGGTGAAAAAGCAGTCACTAGACTTCCCTAGGCCTAATAATAACTCAGAAAAATTGACAGAAAGTCAGGTGGAGGAGAATCATTTTTATGTCTATATCCATGGAACTTTCCCTTTACTTTCTTTTAAAAAACACCATTGGAAAGGAGAAAAGCATAAAGGGTATAAATTTTGTACTTCTCAAATAGAAGGTGACAGTGAACTCTCTGTGTATAAGTGTCTGTGGTTACGGCAGAAAGAGCTGAAAATAGCCCAGTATATGAGGGCGGATTCAGACACTGTTGAAGGGAATAGAAACACTGACAAATTCCATGCCTTTAGATCAAGCTTTAAAAGTTCATTAAAGCTTGTGAGAAAAAAAAAAAAAAAAAAGAGAGAGAGAGAGAGAGAGAAGGAGCATGGAAAGAGAATAAAGGTGTGTGCAAAAGAGACAGAGAGTGGTATTAGAAGACATTTACAATTTAAAGGAGGAAAGGAGAAGATAATACTTCTCTGACCTAGACAATTATGTCATGCCCTAAGCACGAGCAAATCTTCAGGATACCATTGATTCAGAAATCATTTCCAAGACCAGATATATGCTATTCATAACAGACAATACCACCAAACCTCTGTTGCTACACTGGCCATGATGAGAGGCACAGCTTTGGACCCTGTATGGAAGCTACATAGAGGATAGAAGGCTGTATCCTTCAAAAAGACAGTCCTGGGCAGAGAAGGTAGTCACTGAGGCATACTGCCTAAAGCAGTGCAAAAGGAAAACAACTGTAGCAAGAGTTAGGAAATGGAGACCTGTCTGTTGAATATTTATTTATTTATTTATTTTGAGGTAAGAATCTGGACTCTAGGGTATTTTTTCTGTTAGATTTTTATTTTTTTTTAACAGCATCTAGGGGCAAGTGTTGATTTCTACTGAGATTTGTTTCACAGCAGACAAGAAATGCATATGCGTAGCTATAAATATATAAGAAATTAGGCCTACTTTGAAATCATTTTAGTGACAACAGCAGTGTTCTTTTGTTATGGAAGTTAGACCCACCAGCTAAAGAACTGGGCTACTGTAAGGTTTTGTTCGTAGTTTTGGTTTGTTTGTTTTTTTGTTGAAACACAATACTTTTATATTTACACACATGACATTTCACAACTAAAGCCCAGATGAATCCTCCTACAGCACTTTGTAAGGTAATAGTTTATCTGTCTAGTTATGAGTTAGATCATATACAGTGCAAATTTTACATAAGAGTATCTATTGTCTATGATGATTATTGCCTCCTCATCTTCATGTGTCCTAGTATCAACTGCTAGATTACAGTAGACCTACTAAAATTCTGATATTAAACTACTGTTACTTCTAGTTTTTTGGGGGGAAAGTCTAGGACACTGTACCAGCCCCTTCTTTTATAATAACCATCTCTTCTCATGCATGTTAGCATACATTTGTGAGCAAGTCACCACATGATTAACCAGATTACTGGAGCTGCTTCCTAGAATGATTTGGTTATTTACCTCCAGTTTCCAAAATCTTGCATGGCTTTAATATAATGTGGGTTTTATCTTTTTGTTTAACTATAGTACATTACGTACTTTTTAAGAGATTTAAATTATATATCTAAACCACAAAACTTTATTAGTGGCCATATGTTTCTGAGAACTGAAAGGGAAAAATACATTTAAATCATATTGTCTCACATTTTACAGAACAGTATAATTTCAGTTCATTTAGGCAA